GTGGGTCCCGCGGGTCCAGTGGGAATCCTGCAGATGTGCAGACCTCTAGTCCAGGCATTGATGTCCTCATAGTTGGCCATGCAAACAATGAGTGTGCATAGACGCTAGTAAAACGATTCTTATCGGATTTTGGCATTTCTCCAATTGTTCAAGTGGTCATTTTGAACGGAACCATCAGCTGGGCTGGAAACACACACCATAGACCGGGTCAGTAGAGCTCAGAGACGTTTATCACAAACTCAAAATAGACAGTTAAGCATGAATACACAGCAGCCTGAAAACAGGTGCAAAAACAAAACTACACCTAATTTGAGGCAGTAAAGAAAAAAAGAATGTGGCTCTGGGTTCAGGCTTTTTGGTGTGTAGACGGACCGATGGCGGTCCGGTGGGGAAGAGTTCAGAGTGCAGAGGGTGAGTAGAGCCGTCTGGGATCTTCTTATAGGTCTGAGATCGTAGAGCCTGGTTTGAGAGAGAGACAATGAGAAAAGGGGTGGTTAGTAGATGTCTGTTCTCTGTAAGAGCTTTTCTGTGACTGCTGTGCTTGTGGCCCTTTTTGTTTGTTTCCCTTGGCATTGCACCTGCTCTCCTCATCAGCCGCCGGCCATGCATGATCAGTCAGCCCCACCCTTCCTCTGCCTGTGCTGCAGTCCACAGCAAAGGTGCTGATGTTTGTTTTGGTCAGGCTTTTCAGCACCTTGGCGGGCACTTTGGAGCACTGTCATGGCTCGGCTGTCAGCCTCTGCAGGCCAGCCTTGTGTCCGCTGTCACATCATGTGAACAGCATGCTCCAATTTCTTAGATTGGATTAAGGCTTTTTCAGCGCATGTATACCCTTACTCTGATTTCTTTCCTTTTTCTCGTGCGCAAGCAGAGGGCAGGGCTGTCTGGACTTGATGCACGAAATGAATCTAGAAGTCTAAATGATGCATATTCATATTTGCTGGTATGAATATGTGAGTTAATTGGCAGGCTGCTAATTAATGTAATATTTCAGGCTTTGTACTTGTTGACAGGCACTGTGTATTAAAAGTAATACCTTGCATCGAAGGCCGAGATGATGAACAGACAGCACAGAGAGCCAGTTCATGGAGATCAATGGAGGAGTCCCAGTTTAAAGCTGAGACGGCTGTGAGACAAGGACACTTAGGAGAAGTCGAGGTCACATCAGGGAGAGAGAGAGACATAGAGAGAGAGAAAGAGAGAGAAAGAGAGAGAGGGATGGAGAGTGAAGGATGGAGGTTGGTCAGAGGTACAGGACCATGTTGTGAATATTTGATGCTGATGGATCTGTGCTCACTCCAGCAGAACAAACTGGATTGGAGCAGCGTGCACACATACACACACACACACACACACACACTCACACACACACTGCTCAGGTGGAAAGGCTGGTTTGAAATGAGGCCTACTTGGTCTGACACAAAACCTTCATTTCTATGCAGGAGAAACCGATCTACAGCCGCACACCTGAGCTCCACACACACACACACACACACTCCTGTAATAAGTATTTCAGAAATCCATCAGCCAGACTTTTGTAGGATTTGAGCTTGAGATGGAACGTGTTTCCTCAGGCATCACCATCGTTTATGTATTTATAGATTCCTAAATGACGCTGCATGATTTAATCATTACAGCCGTCGCACACGCACTTAACCCGTCTGACGGGCTGAGAGTCGGCCCCTACAGAACCCAGAACCCAATACTGCAATAATTTCCATATAATGTAATAACCTCAAACATGCAATTAAATTTACACTTAACTGTCAAAAGTGTAATAAAACCCAGTAACGTAATAACACGGCCAGTAATGTCATACAATGCCTAAACTGATAATACGATTTTATCTGATTACGCAAGACCTTATTACATTTGTTTTCAACCTGTGGGCCGCGGTGGTCCTGTTAGGGGACCACAGCTGTGTTTTTAACCGCAATATGTAGACATTTCACCAACTGTTATTTTAAACATACCTGATTTTTTGCAAAAAAATAGAACGTCATATTTAGGTGGACCGCATTTATTAGTCTGGCAAGATGCCTGCTATGTTTATATTTTCAGTGCAAGTCAGAGCAAAACGTTTCTTTTAGTTTGTATGGAATTCATCCAATTAATATTAATAGGTAAAAACAGGGAGTTTTGAAAAGAAAGTGAAACAGCCACCGTATCTCAGACTGAGAAAACCAAGTATAAACTGAAACGAAGAAAATACAACAGTGAGTGCGTTTACATGCACTTAATAATCCAATAACTGCAGAATATCAGATTTTGTCAGTAATCCGATCAACACGTTTAATTGCACTTAAGTAATCAAATAATGGGGAAACTCCAGGTCTACATGAGTCAGACAGTAATCAGATTTCTACTTTACAACCAGCCAATGACATAGTGACATAAACGCAACATAAAACTCAAACTTCATGCTGCGTTTTTTTTTAAAACATTGCGCCACTTTACCCGAAAATATGAACGTACATCATCTAGAAGATGAACAATATTTACATCCTTTATATCATATTTGGTTTCAGCGTCGCTCCAACAGTGTTTTGCTGCGTCATCCTGTTGCTGTCTGTTCTCGTGCATGCACTGAGAAATCTGAAAGAAATCAGAGTAAGAGTTTACATGCACTGAGAAATCTGATTACTGAGCTAAAATCCAGCCTCTTTATCCGATTTCTTAATCAGATTTCTAGATTACATGACCATTTGAATAATTGGATAACTGCAGAAATGCATTTACATATTTGCGTTAAAAAAACATTATTCCACACATCATAGCCATACACAGCCGATGACGCCAGCGTGAAGCTGCGCAAACGTTGCCATGTTGACATTATTACCAGTGAAAATGGATGCTTATCAGAGGAGAGCTTTAGCAGCGTTTATTTAGGGTGGAGACACGCTGTACTCTTTTATTATTGAGTTCGTCTGGAATTTAACGAGATAAAAATCAACACTGTTATTCCACTGTTGCAGTTGACGGCAAAAGGTTCACCATTTTTTTCTTATTTCTGGCTTTTCCATCCAGGTTATTTATGTGCATTTTCACAAGTCTCAAAAAAGAGGTGGACTGAAAACCCACAATTCCTAGTATTTCGATGACATTACGCATTTGCAATTACTGAACCTGAAGTTCATTCTCACCCAGGAAAGGCAGTAAAACATGTTTTTGGGCACTGTCATGGTTCCCCTGCTTCTGTTTTTGTTCTTGTCTCCTCCCCTTTCCTGCTTCTTATTGTTATCTGTATCACCGGTGTGTTGTCTGTAGCCCCAACCTCAGTTCGTTTGTCTTGCATTGCCTTCACTAATAAAAAAGATTTTTCTTCAGTGGTTCTTCAGTAATGGGAATGGTTCTATTTAGTTGGAAAATGGAGCTCTTGATGGACCGTTCCGCTCACCACTGCGGTCTGCGGACCACTTCCTCTTCCAGTTTTCTCTTGCTGAGATTTCCTGCTGCGTCCCAAACTACATATTGGCACACTAAACAGTGAGTGAAAAACAGTATACAACCATGAGAAGTGCACTCTTTAGCGCAGTAGGTAAAGTATAGAAGTGTGTGAATTAGGACGCGATCTTTTTCGTGGTCATTCTGGTCTATTTTTCTTGGTCTTCATTCACTTGCAGGGTTGTAGCTACAGATAAGACACAGTCAGAGTTACAGTCAGAGTTTGCTTACATGTTAAATGATCTGGTCAGTAAAATCTTGTGGGCTGTGAGTTAGAAAAGGTTGAGAACCTCTGCGTTATTACATTATTAGGAATTACATAATTAGGAATAAAAAAAAGGTGAATTGAAGGTGAATTGAAAACCCACAATTCATAGTATTCTGATGACATTACGCATTTGCAAGTACTGAACTTGAAGTTCATGCTCACCCAGGAAAGGCAGTGAATATGTTTTTGGAGGAATACTGTCATGGTTCCCCTGCTCTGTATCTGCTCTTTTCTGTTTCTGCCCCAGTCTAGTCTGTCCCCTGTCCCTAGCCATGTGCTACTGTTTTTGTTCTTGTCTCCTCCCTTGTCCTGCTTTTTATTGTTATCTGTCTCACCTGTGTGTTGTCTGTAGCCCCAACCTCTCCTTCCTCCCAGGTGTTTCTTGTTTCTCAAGGTATTTATACCCCTGTTTGCTCAGTTGGTTTGTCTTGCATTGCCTTCACTCTTACAAAAAGATGGGTTCCTTAGTAATGGGAATGGTTCTGTTTAGAACCATGCGTTCTATATATACCTATTGCATGTTTAAATAGTGCAGCAACGATGACGAGATGAGCTCCATCAGAACACAGAGTTACAGCTCACCTGCCAAAATGGCGGCAGGGTGTTCTTAATGACATAATCGAATGCTGTCATTGTGGTCAGTTCGAGAGGAAGCTGTCTAAGCTGCTTACTGTTGATGTAAAAATTCTGAAATACAATGTTTTTCTACATAAACGCAGCAAACGCCTATTTTTGCTTAATTTGTCTTGTATTGCTATGCGTATCACAGTCACATCAGTGTTAGGTGAATGTTGACAGCTCACACTAGGAGCGCATAAATCAGATGAGAGGGCCTAAAATAAAATGCATCTTAGCCAGCGCAGCTGATTGTGTGTGATTCTTTTTCCTGGGTGTATTTTGTACAGAATTATAGGCAGTTTTATCCTTTGTAAAAGCATAAAAGGATAAAGCAGGTTCTTAAGGTGAATGAGGACAGTGAGTGAACTGAAATCAACTCCATCAGTTGTCACTTGGAACTGGAGTTGACTCCAGAATTTCTGGAATCGAGCGGCCCTGCTGTCTGACCTCTCTCTGTGTATTTGTGCTGATCAGACAGTTTATTGTGCTGTCTTTACACACACACACACACACACACGATGAACACACCTTACTTTTAACTTTGTCTGTCAGATATAAAAATGTATTGTGCATACGCTGCACTCGTCTAATTTTTATCCCTCTCTCACTCATTCTCTTTCTCTATCTCTCTCGCTCTTTTTCTGTCCACTCTCTCTATCTTCCTGTCCAG